GCCAAAGGTTATACTCAGGTTCCTGGTCTTGACTACACTGACACTTTCAGTCCAGTTGTCAAAGCTACCACTGTCCGTGTTGTGCTTTCTATTGCAGTCACAAATAAATGGCCTCTTCGACAACTTGATGTCAAGAATGCTTTTCTCAATGGAACGCTTATTGAACGTGTTCATATGGAACAACCTCCTGGGTATGTTGATCCTCGATTTCCAAAGCATGTTTGTCTATTAAAGAAAGCTCTCTATGGCTTAAAGCAAGCTCCTCGTGCTTGGTTTCAGCGTTTTAGCTCATTTCTTCTCACACTTGGGTTTTCTTGTAGTCGCGCTGACACGTCCCTTTTTGTCTTTCATCAGCAATCTAACCTTATCTATTTGCTTCTTTATGTTGATGACATTATTGTTACCGGCAACAACTCATCTCTTATTAACAGCTTTACTCGCAAGCTTCATTCTGAGTTTGCTACCAAAGATTTGGGTTCTCTCAGTTACTTTCTTGGTCTTGAAGCTTCACCCACTCCTGATGGTCTCTTTATCAGTCAGTTAAAATATGCTCGAGATATTCTTACTCGTGCTCAGTTGCTCGATAGCAAACCAGTTCACACTCCCATGGTTGTTTCTCAACACCTGACTGCTGATGGTTCTCCTTTCTCTGATCCTACTCTCTACAGATCTCTTGTTGGCGCCCTTCAGTACTTGACTATCACGCGTCCAGATATTGCCTATGCTGTCAATTCTGTCAGTCAATTCTTGCATGCCCCTACTGCAGATCACTTTCTTGCTGTCAAACGTATTCTTCGCTATGTCAAAGGAACACTCCACTTTGGTCTTATCTTTCGTCCATCCACTGTTCCTAGTACGCTAGTCGCTTATTCGGATGCTGACTGGGCTGGTTGTCCCGATACTCGTCGTTCTACATCCGGCTATTCTATTTATCTTGGTAACAATCTCATTTCTTGGAGTGCCAAAAAGCAACCTACTGTATCACGCTCCAGCTGTGAATCTGAGTATCGTGCTCTTGCCACAACTGCTGCTGAACTTCTTTGGGTTACGCATATTTTGCATGACCTCAAGGTCCCTATTTCACAGCAGCCCTTACTCTTATGTGACAACAAAAGTGCTATTTTTTTGAGCTCTAATCCTGTTTCTCACAAGCGGGCCAAGCATGTTGAACTAGATTATCATTTCCTTCGAGAACTTGTTATCGCTGGCAAACTTCGTACACAATATGTACCCTCTCATCTCCAAGTTGCTGACATCTTCACAAAGAGTATTTCTCGACCTCTCTTTGAATTTTTCAGATCCAAGCTTCATGTTCGTTCAAATCCGACGCTCAGCTTGCGGGGGGGTGTTAAGGATAGTTGACCGTTCATTAAGGCAAATATCTAGATATTTGCCTTACATTACGGGTTACCATATTTTCTCTTTTACTAAATGCAAATATATTGTATTCATTTATTATTCTTTCCTTTTATCGCTATTTCCTTATTATTTGTAATTTACCTTATTTCTGTATTCTGTAAATGATTATAAATAAGAGAACTCTCACCACCATTTGGGTGTGGTGGATTAATCAATGCGTCCCTAATATTTACAATAATAGTTGCAAATCACTGTCATCTGTATACAAAAAATAATACTTCATTTTATTTTAAACTATATAATAAATCTTATTTGTTTAAAAAGTAAATAAAATAGAGTTCTATATTAATAAAAATATCCCTCCGTTTTACATTTTATTTAAAAAAATATTTTTAAAATTTAAAAAATTTAATGATATTTTTAAACTAAAACAGTCCCAAAAATACCTTAATTAATGAAATTGTTAATTCTTTATTTCAAAACCGTTTAAAAAATACTCCTAAATTTTAAAAAGTTTCATAAATAATATTTTTCTACCTTTAAAAAGGTTAATAATAATAAAAAATAAAAAAAAAATAAAAAATCGAGGGTGTTTTAAAAAAATATTTAGGAAGTTTTAAAAGTGTTATTTTTGTCTACATCTCATAAATTATCTTTAAACTTTTAATGTTATTTTTGAAAGTTCATGGAAATATGATACTAGTTAACATTTTTTTTTCCTTCTTAAACCAATTTAAAAGCGTTTTTTAAATTTTTAAAAAAGTTTAATAGCATAAATTCAAAAGTATTTTTGAAACATTTTTAAATATTTGAGAGTATTTCTTGATTTTTTTAAAATTTAAGGTATTTTTTATTATTATTATTACTTTACATTTTAGAGTAAAACGTTTAAAAATTTAAAGATATTTTTGAAATAAATGGCAAAGTTTGAGTGTATTCTTATTAACTTAATTCAAAATAAATAATTATTTTTAGACAATTTTGTACTGTAAAATTAAAACTAAATAATAAATAAAAAGTAATTAAATAATTTTATTCTCTTAAAGTTCAAATTTTAATATTGATATTTATTATATTAAAAATTACCAATTAAAAACTTTGCTTAGGGAATGAAAGAACGACTAAAATTAATAAAATCTTTAAAAATATAAACACGATTAATAATAATAATAATAAATAAATAAATAAATAAAGACCAAAACCATTTATTTACTTAAATAAAATGATTAAAGGACAAAACATCGGAATCGGAAGTGTTCTTTTTGTTTGATATCAAACATGGACCAATGAGAATGTTCTAGAATTTGGTCCCTTAAATATTAATTAAAATAAATAAATAATGCATTTTATATGTAGAAAAAACTGGCTAAAGAATGTTCCAAGCCATTGGTTTGAAAGACAAAGCATATTGTTGAAATAAATTAATTAAAATAAGTGAACGCAAAATAATAATAATTATAAATAATAATTAAATTGCAATTTGTACCATACGAGGATTTCTTTATATAAATATATATATATTAGTAATATCAATGAATTTGTCAGTGGGGAACTCCGTACAATCAACAGCAATGGTCTTTAAAATATAAATGTAATAATTGAAAGTACTTTATATTAATATACTTTATTTTTAGCTTGGCGTTATCTGTTCTTCAAATATGCTTTCAATTTTTTATTTTTTATTATTGGAAATTTGAATGAATATTAAAATATTTTCTTGATAAAATATGAATTACGGTCATAAAAAAATGATATAAAACAAACACATTTTCTAAAAACAAAAAAACAAAAAAAATAATAAATTAAAAAATTAAATAGTTATAAAAAAACACAATTAAATTTGATATTTGTGTTTTATTTAATTAAAGTTTTAAAAAAAATTAAATAATCTTTTTAACTTAAATTTTTTTATTTTCTATTCAATACATCACTAAACTTTAAATTTTATTATATTTATATAATTTTTTATTAGTTACAAAATTTAAATTTTAGGATTCAATTAATATTTGAAGTAGGAACGAATTGAGGCGGGTTCTAAAATTTAAATTTTAGGATTCAATTAATATTTGAAGTAGGAACGAGTTGAGGCGGGTTCTAATCATATGTTCGAGTTGATCGAGTTGACCTATCTACAAAATTTTAAACTACAAATCGAACCGAATTTTTTATCCTTCAGAAATTCAATACAAGTGTCGAGAAAAAAAAATCTAATCCAATCATCCTTTTTAGTTTGTGGATTAGGTGGTTTGAGTTGATCGGGTTATCGAGTCATATGAACATTCTTATATATTATATATATATTTTTAAAAAAATATTATGTAAAAAAAAAAACTCTCAAAAACCTTTTCAATGGTCGTATGTTTACTTTCACAATGCACAGATGAAAGACCGAAATTGACTGAACATAAAAATCCATAAAATCCCAAAACACTTTCTTCTGTCTCTACGCCGTCCACGTCGTCGGGCCTTCGAAAACGAAAGCTGCACAAAACGACACCGTCCAAACCTCTTCCAACGTCCACGTGGCGGCATACAATTATGACACGTAGTCGAAATTCAAACGACTAATCGAACACACTTCCTAAGCGTTGAAATTCGAGCATCCATGGGCGGTGGAAAAAAGTTGTAAAATAAAATGTTGTTTGAATTAATAAAAATATTAATTTATAACTATTTAAAAAATGTCATTGCATTAATTTGGAGGTAATATATTCTTGAATTTTTAAAATTATATTTAAACTATAAAAAAAATTATTTGTACCTTAAATTTTTTTTTTAAAACTTCAAAATATCATTAATTTTTAAAAATATTTTAATCATGGTTAGTGTTATGTTTAAAAAATACCATAAATTAAAAAAAAAAATCATAATATCCTTAAAACTAAAAAAAAAAAATAAAATAAATAAAATGGCTAATTGAAGAATTATCTTTTCAGTTTAACAACTTGCCTTCCTTGAAAATGGCTCAGTCAGATATATGGTCTAGTGGTTTAGTTGTTGCATAGTATTCGGTGCGTCCCCGACTGCCCTTGAAAATTTGGAGGACCGAGTGTCTCCCACGTCTGATTGTACTCATAATTGCATCAAGTCTCCAAGGTGAATAGCCTCTTGTCGATGGAACAACGTAGACAAGGGAAGTCGACAAAATGGATCTGTAACCTCGGGAAAATGATTAGCACGGGGTCCCAGACTTGAACCCTGTTAGATGTTGGTAGATTTCTTGAGCTACTTCCGCAGTGAGAGGTGTCACTGCGTGCTGATCCGGGAACGTACTGTGAACAGTTTCTTTATGGGCCTTCTCCAGACATTAAACAACCAACTCAGAATTAGTACCGTCAAAATATATGACTGTTTAACCAAACAAACCATTGCGATGGTCCCTCCTAATGCTAACCGAGCGTGATTTTTCTATTATTATTATTATTATTATTTTTTAGATAAAATAATAAATGGGAAGGGTGTAGAAACATATTTTGTTGGCCATTAAATAAATAATTCAGATCAAAAGTGTAAATGGGCCTGGCCCATATCGCCCACTTTTCCCAAGAAGCAGGTTTTCTTTTGGGCCTCCAACGGTCAAAAGCAAGGAAACAAGAAATTATATATAAATGGAGGGCCGCGGCATTCGAACCGAAGGCAAATTTCAATTGGAGGATTTTCCCTCCGTTCCAGTAATCAGCTCCTCCGCCCCCTTTCCTTACCAGATCCTCTTATTACTGCTACAAGTATTGATCCGCCATTGTTGGCTGAAGGTATTTCTCCCCTTTTTCTTCAATTTTTTTACTCCTTTAATTCTTGATTTTACCATTAGTTATTCCCAGTAAGGTTTTTGGCTGTAGACCAACTGTCGTATGCAAGGGTTAAATTCTGTAGTAATTTTTTTTGTTTTCACTAATGTTCTTCACGACCATCTGCTGTAATTTCTGGAAGATTCTCCATTCCAGGCCACGTAACGGGTAATTGTGGAAAGAAATTACTCTATTAATTTACTCATTTCTTCATTACTATCGAACTGTTAGTTTAATTTCTGATAGATTCTCCCTTGTGCTGAAGACTTATTTGATTAAATGTCTGATGGTCCTGAAGTGATTTTAGTTATGTGTTAGGATTAGGATAAGTTGGGGTAAATTCATATTAATCTTGGTTAATTCCTCGATTAATCCTTTATAATTTTAGTTTTCCTTTAAGGATTTTCGTTAATTCTCGAATCTGTGTCATGTATTCGATAGCTTTGATTGATTCTCGGAGAGAATTCTGATCTTTTATCGGTTTCGGCTATGCCAGTTTTTGATTCGATCGGTTGAAGAATGGGTGAAAAAACATGTGAAGATGGTAGCCATGATGTTTCAGCCATTGAAGCTAATCCTGTTCCATTTCCGCCACAGAAGGAAGGAGTTTCTGGTAACGTCGGATGTATGACACCGGAGAAGGGAGACGAGTACTTGAAAGGAAAGTTGAAGGAAGGAGGGATCAAACATCAAGAAAAGTGAGTATATTTTTACTAGATGCAATGCCTATAACATTCGACGTTTAAATCTTGTTTTGGATCTCGAGCTTTGTTTGAACTGCTTCGTTTTTCTTCCTAAACTTTTGAATGTTTTGTTTTAGTTCTTAAAATGATTCTAAACGATATAGAAGAGTTAAAACCAACATTTTAATTGTATGCAGATATCAAAGCATTGTAGAGTTGTTTACTTGCTTGATTTCCTCACTAAGGCTGCTTGGAATGCGCAAGAAGCTATCTACATTTCACAATGTATCCGGTCAGGTGTCGGTTATGAGTAAAAGGTATATTGTAGCGTTCGTTAATGAATCTACTGAGCTTTTTTACTGCTATCTCATCGCATTTAACCGATCAACTACGATCAATTTATTAATGTTGTGTCTGAACTGATAGTTTCATTGGGTTGGTGAAACAAAACGGTAGGTTGAAAGAAAATAACTCGAAAACGTGTAAAAACTTTTACTAGATTACGGTGCAAATCGAAATTGGAACGATCAAGGAAATGGACCGAATTAGTTCAATTTGATTTTGGGTGGATTTTGTTCGTTCTTGGTTGATCTAAGTTGATTCGTTTCGTTTCTTTTGCAGAAAGTTTTTACACAGACATCTAGCACAAATAGTGTACATCATTCCAGAAGTTGTGACTATTGATAAAGTGACGATTCATGACAAGAAAACGTCGTGCATGAAGTCGGAAATGATAATCAGTCTTCGATTTGATACCGTAAAAGGTCACTCCGAGTATTCCGATTTTCTGGCGTTACACAAAGTTTTCGCTTCAAGGGTAGCAAAATTCTTTGTCATGCATCCCGAGGTACTTTCTACATTATAATAAATTGTTATCTGAGTAGCAGCATTCAACACTATAATAAATTGTTCGAGTTTAGAGACGTTTTTCTAGCGTCCTAGAGATTAGGCGGTTTAGATATGTCTTCCATGGTCATGAAAATTTCATAGCTTAAACCTTTGCCTCTTAGCTTTGGGGTCGGAAAAACCTCTCGAGAATCAGCATGGATGGACTATGAGTCATTCCAAGAATGGGCTGCATAGAGATGCCTATTTAACCCTCGGAGCCCTGACCTCGTTCGGGAAATGAGTGAGAGAGTGGAGAGAGATTTCTTTCTATTAGTTAAATAAGGACGGGGATTATACTCTCTAACCCTAACTTTGACACCCACCAAATCCCTACCCCGCTCATTTTTTATATCTAAGGTATAAAAATAACTTATTATCTATTTATATTTTATTTTTTCTCCTTAAATATTAGATTGGAATATGAAAATTATCCATTAATAAATTCTTCAAAATGTTTTTTTTTTTTTGAAAAATTCCTTGTGGGATCCCGATCCTCGTTAATTCTCTACGGAGAATCTCTGTTTTGATTCCCACATAAATAAATGGAGAATTTTGTGGAGATGGGAATCATTATTTTGTTACATATGTGACCGTTTTACTAGTAAGCCAATTGTAATTTAATTATTTTTCTTATTTGGTTTGGCAACCAGAAAAGTGAAGTTCCGGAGGCGGCGCTACCGGAGCCCTTCAACCGGAGAAACATTACGTTCTCTCTCGAGCAATCGACCTATAATTCATCATCTGTGCCAATATCTGTACAAACCGAATTGTCTTTTGAAGACCTTTGTCCACAGTCAACCTGCAAGAGACATTTCTCTAAGAAAGCTGTTCCTAAAACAGAGCTATCAGAGCCTATTACATCTTCTGTTGCTGGTTTGCCATCTGCTCCAGCTTGTAGTCTAAAAGAGGAGGAAGATAATAACGATAATTTGCTCGAAGATCTTCCCGTGCAGTCGATCTCGCCTCGAGCCACTGCTAATTCTTCTGAGAGTCCTGTCGTCAAGCCTGCAACGTCTGCTTCTAGCAATATAATGACACAAACCCCGGTACAGTCGACACCGAAAAGATCGATGCTGCCGAGTTCTGATGTGAAAATGAGGAAAACTGCAAGTGTAGGAAGTTTATGTAAACCTGCAAAAAGGTTTCTCAACTTTTCTGGCATGGAAGGTGATAATGGTCCATTGAGTTTCAGTGTGGATGATTTGCAATGCTATGATATCAGGGAAAAGAGAAATTTCCATTACGAGCGTTACCGAACGGATTCTTCTAGTGGAGGAGTAACTTGTGAAGAATCGTCTTGCTTGCCCGAACTTGTTCGTGTTATCTACAACGTTTTCAAGTCTGTAAATTGCGCTTCGATTACCAAGGAGGAGCTGGTGCACAAGATTATAATGAATAGTCTTGATATTACAGAGCAAAGTATGTACGGTTTTTGTAAGTAATTTTGGATGTGAATTTGGTTTGAATTTTTGCTTGACTTTTACGTGTTTTCTTGTAGGAGAGGTGGAAGAGCGGATTGAGCAGCTCGAAAAGTCGGTCCCGAGTTGGATCTCCAAGAAATCGACACCTAGTGGCGATGTTACTTTCAGGTGAATCATTCAAATAACTTTTGTGACCTATATATATGATTCCCAAATGGTCTTCTTTGATACAAGATTTGCCTATGATTAGGATTTGTGCATATATAGGAAAAATGCTTCATATAGGTTTCTATTTTGCGGTACATGGGTACTAAGAGGGGTGTAAGTGGATCGGATCGGTTTTTTGAGTCAAAACCTACATTGAACCAACCCGAGGGCAGCCGAGTTTTTAGGAAATAAAAAACCGGTATCCAAACCTACATTGAACCAACCCGAGGGTTGCTGTGCTTTTGGAAAGTAAAAAACCGGTTTCCAAACCTACATTGAACCAACCCGAGGGCGGCCGTGCTTTTGGAAGTAAAAAACCAGTTTCCAATCCTACATTGAACCAACCCGAGGGCAGCCGAGTTTTTCGGAAATAAAACCGGTTTCCAAACCTACATTGTGGACCAACCGGAGGGCAGCCAAGTTTTCAGGAAATAAAAAACTGGTATCCAAACCTACATTGAACCAACCCGAGGGCAGCCGTGCTTTTGGAAAGTAAAAACCGGTATCTAAACCTACATTGAACCAACCCGAGGGCAGCCGTGCTTTCGGAAAGTAAAACCCGGTATCCAAACCTACATTGAACCAACCCGAGGGCAGCCGTGCTTTCGGAAAGTAAAACCTGGTATCCAAACCTACATTGAACCAACCCCAGGGCAGCCGACTCGACAAAAGATATATAGTTTTACTCGAACCGAACCCCACGTATTCGAACCAACTATGAATGCATTTGTGTAGCTTCTAATAACAGTGTCACTCTCTGCAGCATTAGCGGCAAAGAAGACTTAGAATCAGTGGTGGCAAAAACTGCTCCAGTTTGAGAAGCTCCCAAAAGGGTCACCACATTGTCTTGTTATGTTTTGTCTGTGATGCTATTTTCAGCCATTGTTCTTTAGAAGTTATTAAAGGCACCTATGTTCTACACATCTTACCTTAGAAAATACATTCAAATCAAAACAGCCCCATAAGAGTTATTTTTAATTCCATTTTTGGGACCATTGAAGGGGTGTTTGAATGACCTGATGATCCAAACTTCCCGGACTACTTAACCCAAGTTAGATTTTTTTTTTCCGGTTTCCAAAAAAATTTGATCATGTTCGTAAGTTCGAACTTTTTTAGTTGAGTCAACCTAACTAGCCTAACCTCTACTTTTAATGTTGTTATGAAGGTTAGTAATACTTCACATTTGTAACAAATGGTAGTGATGTATTGTGATTTGTGAATATTTTATATTTGAGTTTTTGTAGATTTTAGTTATTTATTAACGTGACATGGAATGTGAGTATATGATTTTTTTTAATAATTAAAAAACGAACAACATCATGACTCAACCCAACCCAACCCAACACATGTGAGACAACTCTTATGTGGCTTGGGTTGTGAACAGTGAGGTCTTACATCGATGATTGAAGACAGAAACTAAACATTCTTCAAGGTGTGGAAACCTCTCTCTTGTAGACTTGTTTTAAAATTGTTAGGCTGATGGTGATATGTAACGAATTAAAGTGAAAAATATCTGCTAGCAGTAAGTTTGGGCTATTCCAATGACGTCAGAACCATATACTGGACGGTGTACCAGCAAGAATGTTGGCCCCAAGAAGGGTGGATTGTAATGTTCTACATCGGTTGGAGAAGGAAACGAAGCATTCCTCAGGGTGTGTAAACTTCTCTTTAATAGATGCGTTTTAAAACTGTGATGCTGGCAGCGATATGTAACGAGTTAAAATGGACAATATCTGTTAGTGGTGGGATTAAGCTGTCGCATGAACCTTTTTGAGTCACCAATCCACTGACAACCAACCCCCTTAAACTGTTGTTTGGATGATCCTCTTCTCACAAGGATAAACGGAATCATATGAAAGTCATCCTTTTCTAGTTTTAAAAACTTTCATCTTCAAAGCCAAAAGACTATTAAAAACGACCACATGAGGGGGCAAAAAGTTTGACTAACTATTTAAAACTTATATCTACTCGAGAATCTGACATGTCGGTCTTAGAACATGATAGGCTAAAAAATATTGAGTATTAAGTTTGATATATTTATATTTTTTTAATATAAGCTTTGGTCAAAAGCTTATGGTTTGATTAGTCTTTTGCCCCTATACCCAAGTCAAACGAACGATTTACATGTCAATATCGTTGTGGACCTCCACCTGAGTTTCTTCTGGCTTCACCCCGCTCAAGTATAACTAGATGATTTGATCTGTCTTTTGTCCCTATACCTAAGTTAGACGAACGATTTACATGTCAATACCGTTGCGGGCCTTCACTTGAGTTTCTTCCGGCTTCGCTCTGCTCAAGCATAGTTGACCATCTTTCGGGTCCATACAAGTATGCTCATACTCGTACGCATCTCTCGTAAGATCAAGGTCAGTGGGTGGGTGCGGGAGAACTAAAAAGCTAAAATTTCATCTCTATGATTTCATGAAATCTCATATAGTTCATGTGATTTGATAAAATCTTCAAAAGGGACAATTCTTGATAATTTTATTAAGCCATGTAGACTAATTCAATTTATCGTTCTCAAACGACCAATTTGTAATTTAACAAATATATATATATATATATATATATATTTCACAGGATTCAACCCCACTAGCACTCATCTGAATCTTACAAAATACATAACAATGCCTTAGAGACACTAAAGATGTGGTTTGTGAAATCCCTAAGAATTTTCTAACTTTCAAAAAACCACACCAGAATGTGATGCAACCATCTTCTTCAACATCTGTTAGCCATGGAAATGGCCTTCCGGAGACTTTTAAATGCCTTCTCATATCTCAAGAATCCCATAAACCAGAAATCAAAGTTGTCATCCGTCACCACTTCTATATACTTCATATCTGGCTCACTAACATTCTCGCTTTGGTTGGCCTTTATGACCTTCTTTAATGGTATCATAACCTGCACAAAATCAAATCACACCCCACTTATACGAACACGTTTGAGAGTGTTTTTGGAATGATCAAACTCAATTTAGTCATCGTTATTACAAAATCGCTCACGAACATGTCCTAACTAACTGCTAGAGAAATTCTTCAACTTTTTAAAGACTAATTTCTTTTTACTTTTGATACAAAATGGCTAAAGATGTTCTCGCCTTCCTTATTCGGGCTGGAGTTCTACTTTCTGGGCAAAGTCAGAATTCAAAGCAGGAGTCTAATACGCAGCTTTGATTGTTTTCGAACGAAAAATTTTGCATCTTATGGAAATTTGGCATCACATGGTGCTTAAAGTTTCAAAGATGCCATCATCAAAATTCTGGATATGTATTAAGCAGAAAGATTCCAGACACTTTTAGCTTGTCCAATCACTTTGTTCCAACAACAAGTTGGGGATTTCTTTGAAAAAAAGGACTACCCAAAAATATTCTGTATCTATCTATGAATGTTCAATTCCAATCCTAAAATCTTTAAAACTTTCCATTTTCTGAAATCAACAACCAAAAAGTTCATTAAGTTTCTATCAAAGATGCTTTAAATTCCATTTTCTGAAAGCAAAACTTTATCATAACATGGTTAAATCAAATCAAATCAAACATGATTTATTTGCAATCTCCTATGATCCACAGCTGAAGGCTTAAATATAAAGGTTACCTTGTACTGAGTTTTGATCAGTTCTCCAGTTGGTGAAGGGAAAGTGATACTTTGCTCACTGCAGAAAGCAACCCTGTGTGTGGACATGAAAAGAAGTCCTGCAATGGGTCCTGCGCTTGTTGATAAGTAACATTGAGAGGCCTTCAAAAGCTCTTCTCCTTCTACAATCCCAAAAGCATGTTTGAATATGTTCTTTCTACCACCTTGTCGTATAATTTTTGCCCCTAATCTCAATTTTCCTTTGGCAGTAACCGAGAATTTAGGCCCCAATTTAACTGCAGATTCACAAAAAAACACAAGTTTACGCTGATTCAATCATAATATATGCGAAAATTTCAGGTGGCATTTCTACAAACAAGTGGTGTGCAATAAATTTGGACAGCAAAAACTTTCGATCCTTACCATGCTCGTAAATTCGAAATACAAATCCGCCTCGTTTCCTGATTAATTGCTTCTTGTGCCCCAATTTTGAATGATCTTTACCTGCAAAAATGAAATCGCCATCGATTTAGATGAACAGAGCGGCGCCAAGATCGAGAGGGGATTGATTATTACCGTAAGAAGAGGGAGAGCCATCGGAATAAATAGGTAAGCGCCTTTCAGGCGTTTTCTCGAAAGAGTTCATTAGAGGGCTTCGAACACCAAGACTACGAAATCGTGGTCCGCGGCCACCGGCCGGAATCGCCTTCCGACCGAGAAACGACCAACGGAACAAAGAGACCAAAGAATCGACCTGTAATTTATGAAATCAATTCCTCCTTGAAATTCTAACTTCCATCGAAAGAAACGGGAGAATTTGTACGTCGAAAATTCTATTTTCTGGAAAGAGAAAAATTCGAATCAGGACATTGAACAAGTGGAATTAAAATAGCGCGGAATCATCGAACAATCTTCCAGTCAATTTCGTCAGCTTTGAACAACAACTTCTCCTGTTTTGTGATGCAAACAAAAATCACGTTCAAAGTCAATCGAACCAAAATTGATTTCGTGTAAAAAAATTAACGAAAGAACATAGTGCAGCAGCAAGACGACAAGGAAGCAAGGACGAGTTTATTATAATAACCCGGGGAACTATTTAATTAGTACAAAGCTTCATTATTTAATAAAATACAAAACTTTATAATTTATCTAAATTAAGCCAAAAATACAACTCATAAATAAATATTAATATAAATAGAACTCACAAATTTAGTGAGAAAATTTAATATTTTATCTTTATAAATAATTTCTATAATTTCAATTTTAGCAAATTATAAAAATTTATTTGAGACTAAATTTTAATTTCTTTTAATAGAGAAGAAGAGAAAGAAGGACATATTTTTTTAAGCTAAAGGGGCATTTTTTAAGAAAAAAATTATTATTTATGTTAAATGACTAAATTTTAATTATTATTTATGTTCTCATTCATATTTATAAATTTTAAATAGCATACAATCTATCAATTAAATATTGAAAATAAAATAAAATATTATAAATAAATCAAAAAGAAAATATAATATCTAAAATATATTATAATTATTTAAAAGAAAAAAAATCGAAGAGTAGGTGTGCTTAGGCTGAATTTGAAAATAAAAGAAGAAAATATTTGAGAAATTGCCCGGGAAAAGTCTTCATATGTACACGTGGCGGGATTTTATTGGCTAATTGTTTAGGGTTCTCGTCTTCAACGGATTTCAGTTTTCCACAAGTCCGTCCTTTTTTAAGTCGACCAGCGTCGACTTTTCCTCACAATCAATTATCGAGCGCTTCTTCTTCTTCCCGCCTCTGGTACGCTCCTCTCTCTGTCATGGAAATTGTTGCGCTAAACATCTCGAATCATCACAATTTTTGTGGGGATTTCGTTCGTATTATTTCAGTTTTCCCACTCATATGTTTAAATTTGTACTCTATATCGACGATTTCGTCTTATTTTACATCTTCTCATTATTCTATCGATAATTTATTTGGCAGGAAGTTTTTTGAAGTTTGACTCATGGATCCTCAACCCGAACCAGTGAGCTACATATGTGGAGGTACGGTTGTTGTGTTTATTGATTCCATGCTTCAAAATCTACTGAATATTTAGGTTTTCAAGTTTGGTTCTCGTGTGCATCCTTTAATCAGTGTATAGTTACTTAGATTACATTAAAACATCGGGAATCTGGAAGTTTATTGATTTGAGTCTATATTTCTCACAATCGAATATACATATATATCTTAGAATCCAGTAGTTTGAGTATATATTTACAATACTTGCACTAAATATTCACCTATGTTTGGATCTTGAGTACTGTCAAATTGGTGTAGATTGTGGAATGGAGAACACTCTGAAGCAGGGTGATGTTATACAGTGCCGAGAGTGTGGTTATCGTATTCTCTACAAGAAGCGCACCCGTCGCAGTAAGATATATTTGTTTTTTTTTCTTTTATTCATGAATGTGTCGTCTCTATGTATGATATTTCCGTTTAAGTTCTTAATTTCCACTGATGTTTGGAATTTTAAGTGTCGTCCATGAAGTTGTTTCTGGCTTTCATATGCTTGGCCATAAATGTTCGATGAACTAAGAAACATTGGCGGGATCTTTAATTAATCGTAGAGTAAAAGATTTTTGGTGGGGTGAGAGCTAGCCTCTTAGTAAAGTAATGTAAATAAGTCCCACCATTGATACAAGGTCAAACACTGTGATTGATTCTTGATAGCTTTGGACAGTTTTGTATTTTGTTGGTCTAATTCTAAAGTTCATTGCATTGCGTTTGAGATCCCGCTTGTTTGAGCGTTCCATATCAACATCCATTCTCAATGCTGTCTTCTTCGTGATCTGATCTTTAGCCTTTATTTGCCCCTTTTTCATAGTTCATTTGAAAATTTCAAAAATGGATCATCTCAAAATTCATGTTATCAACTCAGTTTGTTTTGAAGTTTATGTATTGCACTGCGCATATTTGTAACTCTTGAGGTTGTAGTGATTCAGTTAGTTTAATGTCGTAGCGTGTTGTATTTGAGTGAAATCTGTTCCCGATCTTTGGTGGTAATTGAAGTGCTTCTTTGGGGGTTATCCTTGCGATCCCTTATGACTTGGGATGCTCTCTAATTACGATTTTCTGGACTAACTCTCAAGGTTTTAAAACACGTCTATTCGGAAAAGTTTTGTACTCCCTTATAAGGAATGCTTCGTTTCCCTCTCCAATCGATGTGGAATCTCAAAATCCACCCTCCTTAGGGCCAGTGTCCTTGTTGACATACTGATCAATGTCTTGCTCTCATATCATTTGTTGTGGAATCTCAAAATCCACTCTCCTTAGGGTCAAGTGTTCTTGTTGACACACTGATCTGTGTCTTGCTCTGATACCATTTGTAACCGCTCAAGTCTATTGTAAATAAATATTATCTTCTTTGAGTTTTCCCTTCTAGGCTACCCCTCAAGGTTTTAAAATGTCTTTGCAAGGGAGAGGTTTCCATGTGCTTATAAGGAATGTTTTGTTCCGCTCTCCAACCGATGTAGGATCTCAAACTTTTCTTGTAGTTTGGGTTTGCCACTATTTTTGCTATGGTGCAGTTTGAATGTCATGAAAAGTATGGTAATTTCTCATTACATTTAAAGAAAGCATGCATCTTTTTCTACTCTGTTTCCTTGATATTTACGTGCTTCCTCCAAATTTGAAGCTGATCCGAATATTGTTCTGTTTTTGCAGTTGTTCAGTATGAGGCCCGCTGAAATGCTTATTCTGGCGAGATGAACTTTTAGTATCATTGACTTTTTAGTAAAACAAAAATGGAACTCAACATTGCTTAAGGACTCTTCTCTGCAATGTAAACATGATTATAGCGCTGGCAACATATTAATATAGTCAAGTTCTTTAAATTATAGCTTTATTCAATTAAAATTATGGTTTAATTATTAAAAATGCCAGTTCAATTTTATATTTTGTTAAACTCTCAAAAGTTTTGATAATTCTTAAATTAAAAAAGAAAAGGAAAAAGTCCAATTTTAAAAAAAAAATATCATTTTTTGATTAGTGTTTAAAAAATATACTTAAAATTTCAAAATTCAAAAAATCTATTAGTACTTTTAAACTTTTTTTTTTTATAATTTTAAAAATACCTATAATTTTTTTTTTAATCATTGTACGTGCTTGTGAATTTTAAAAAATAAAATGAAAAAATTTAAAGATAATTTATAGTCTTAATAGACAATTTTTATCTATATTATTGACGGTAATAATTTTTTTATTAATTTAGAAATGTTTTTATTAATTTGGCTTAAAAATATTCCTTTTTCAAATATTGAAAAATATTTGTTAATATGTTCTATCATATGTATATGAATATGAATATGCTTAAAAAAAATTAAAATCCTTAAATAATAATAATAATAAAAAGAATGGTGTGGTATAATGAACGGATGTTTGAACTATTTTGAAGCTAAATTATAAAAACACATAGGTTGAATGTATAATTAAAAAGTTAAATTCTTTAAATTCAAAGTCATTTAAGTTAAGACTCTTAAGTTAATTTCTCTATTTTGTCGATTATTTTCCAAGTAAATAAAATAAATCAACTAATTGACTAAAACATACCTTTGATGTGCTATATATAACTATTTTATAATTCAAGTTGATCTAGAAAAAATGTATCAATTTTTTGTCTTAATAACATTAGTCTTGGAGTTTCATTATTTTTATTTTATTTTAAAAAAAAACTGTGAATTAGATTAAAAAAAGAATATTTTTGTGAATATTCTAGTGCTCTCGTAGAAGAGAATAAAAATGAAAAAGAGTGGAGAGAATATAAATAAGGTCACCTCATACTCCAAATAACAATAATATGTTATTATAAACTCATTATTTTTTCATTTAAATATTTTTTAGTTATTTATAGATTTATTATGGTTTTTTTAAAACATACATCAGAAATTAAATTTTCTCTTAGTTTTGCATAAAAAAAATGCAATGCTATATAATTTTATATTTTTTAAAGTTAAATTAATAATATTTTTAAATTCTAAAAAAATTTAAAAAATCATTTAACAAATGAAAGTATTAGTATTTTGTTTGAAACATATTTATAAATTTTCAAAAGTATTAAAAAAAAATTAAAAAAAAATTAAAAAAAAATTATAGATGTTAATATATAGATGAAGATGGTCTATTTACATTTAGGAGATATCTCTTCAACTTTAAAGATATTAATATTATTTTTAAAAATTTATTGGTATTATTGAAACAATTATTATTAAATATTTTAAAAATATTTTTGAACAAATATATATATATTTTTTTTTTTAACTCTAACCATTTTTCATTTTTTTTTTTAAATACAAAGACATTATTAAAACTTTATTCTAAACAAATTGGAATATTTTATTATTTATTTAATTTTTAGATTTATTTTGTGTTACATTAACTCGAGTGGACTCGAAAGCGTACGGATTGAAGGTAAACAATCACTTTTAGTAGACACAGAGGCGGATGCCGATGGAAAAGTAGAAGATAAAAGCTATTGTCCACTGGAAGAACAAACCCTGCTCTTCATCGCTGTACTCCCTTCGACTCTCTCGCCGATTAAAATGGGTCAGTTGCCTTCTCTGCTCAATCGCTGCTGTTAGTCAATCGCTCACTCCTTTACTTTGATTTGATTTGGTTTTTGCATGTGTCATTCTTATCGTGGAATGGCCTGTCAATCCAATTTCCGCCAGCTATTTCCACCTATTACAGGAAACTAACTTGAAATCATTATATATTTTTATGAAAAACTTACCATAATTTATAAGCTATCTATCGGCTTTCTCTATTTTGAGTTGCGAATTAATTGAGAGATAGCGGGGGAGGAGAGGCATTTCCATTAGTGGTTACTAGTTAATTGTTGTAGATTTTCTATGTTCCCTGTAATCTGAATTTCGCGGCTATATTTGGGCGCAGATTGTGTCTAAATTTGTATAGTTCTTAAATTGAGATTTTTTTTTTTTTTTCCCTCTGATATTTCCGGGTTTAGTCAAATTTAGTACTACGCTTCCTCAATGGTTGTAATTTCGTGGTTAATTTCAATGGAGTAATACCATGGATGCTTTCTTCTTCGATTCTTTGTCCGTTTTTCACAATTTTCCCTTCCTCCTTGCAATTAATTGGGAGCTTTGGCTGTCTTCGTGAACGAGCTTCTTTTGACTGGTAATATGAATTTTGGTTTAATGATTTTTAGGTACTACTGCTTTTTGTTGTCTTTTATCGGAGAAATCCGATTCATGAAATGTGGTATTGTTGTTTTTGTATCTGGATTTTCTCCCTTATTGTATCTTATGATTGTTCTTCGGGTTTTTGGCTATTAGCTTGTTCTAATAAATGACATTTCAAGGCTATTTTTGTGTTTGGTCCTTAAAGAAATTTGAGATTTCTGATATTTCAACGCTTGCCTGCATATATTTGATGATCATCATCGAGGATTCTAATTTTTTTGAAGCTAACTTTGGGGTGGTCGAAGCCTCCCCAAGATTAGTGAGCTCCCTATACCTGTTATAAAATATGTTCGTAATCAAAATATTGGTACACATTTCAATTGGTTTTAGATTCCTTGAACTATTATTTGACAAAGATTCTTGTTTTTTTTAGTTGCTTACTTTTGAGTTCTTCAAATGCCAAATTAGAGTTTCTAAATTAGGGTTTCGATTATAAGTCCATACGTACATTGCTTTTGCTCTATTTCTTCGAAATTTGAGTCGAAATACTCGAATATAAACATTCCCCAAATATCGACTGTGACTCCGTTTTTTTATGTGCATGCTTCGAACGATTCAATTAGGGTTTCTGTTTTAAGCATGTACATGCACCTTTATATGCTATGTTTCTTCGAAATTTGGGTCGAAATCATGGAATTTGAACATTCCATACAACAATGTCGAATAATACCGACCGAAACTCAGTTTTTTCATGCGTGTGCTTCAAATGAACTTTTTTTTTTATTCGAAATTTGAGTCGAAATACTCGAATATTAACATTCCCCATAAGAATGTTGAAAAATATCGAACCGTGACTTTACTTTTCATGCTCGTGCTTTGTCCTCGTTTAAGTCAATTTTTATTTTTCTTTTTTTTCTGTTGGCTCCATCCCATATTAGAACTTCATTTTCGTACGCGAATTATATGTTGATATTGCATTGTTTCTTTCATATTTAGCTGCTTTTATATCTGGTTAGTAGTTCTTCGGGTTATTCTTTCTTTTTCGTGTGTGTGTTGTACATATGTGCTATAATGTCAAGATAAAAAAAAGTAACATTTCATGTAAACAACCTAACCGGCTGCCCTTGGACATATAACTAAAGAAATTGATTTTTTGAACTGGTTTAATAACAGGTACAAAAAACGATGCAGTGTGCTCTTGAAAAAAGTAGTGAATTTCAGAAAGTTCCAGACAAAGGAAAGCAGTTATTAGAAGTGAAAATTCAGGAAGATAATTGTTCAAGAAGAATTAAGGTTCATAATTATGAAGATTTTATTTTCTTTGGTTTGCATAAAATTTTATGCTCAACTATTCTTTTTTTTTTTTTTTTTTTTTTTTTTTTTTTTTTTTTTTTTTTTTTT